TATATATAGAAGATGGGCAAGGCGATTGAACTCTCTACACTTCCTCTCCCTCGTCTTCTCCTTATATATTTCTTTCTCCGGCGTACTCCTTACGATCCCTTCCTCCGGCGAATCGGCTTTGTGTATGTTCTCTTTCTCTCTGTCGATCGAATGTGAAGTATTTGAATGCTTTGTGTCTGTTCCGATTGGGTTAATCTGATTATGACAGCTATCTGTGATTTTCACAACTTATTAATTAGCCTGAATGAATCCTGAACGCGAGTTCTGATACTTTTTGTTTTGTAATTCTTTATTCGCTTGTTTACATCGTTAATATGTGAATCCAAAGATGTTTGTACTAATCTGCTAATTTGCATTGCTAATCTTGTGGATATTTCTCCAAAGAATAGGGGAAAGAGAAGAACAAAGATACGGCAGTAAATAACCTGCCATTGATTAATTACTAATCAGTTTTGTGGATATATATCACTAGAAAGAATAGGACAAAGATACAGAGGAGGCTATAAAATGTGAAATATTAATCATTGTAAACCATGTATATTTGTAGGTCTTCTAATCTTCCATTGGGTAACTTTCTCGCTAGAAAATGGGAAAAAGAAATGGATACAGAATTTGAGATATTAAGCATTGTAGTGAGTGCTTTCACTGATTTTTACTAGCTAATATGCAATTCTATTCTATGAATTCACTATTGTGATGACCTACTAAATTTACTAAAGTTGTGATCTGCTATATGAATATTTGGATACCCAAACTAATCAGGATTTGCTACTTATGTTAATATAATCAGGATTCTAGATATTACACTTTGGAAAATAGGATGTAAAGAAAAGGATAAGGTATATTATATGAAATGTAAACCATTGTAGTGTTTAGTGCCGCCTTTTGTTTTCTTTTGGTAGTTTATTGTAAAAGGACCCCCTCTTAATCGGTTACATACCCCCATACAGAGTAGTTGAAGTACGAGAAGTGGAAAGTGAGAATCAGTGTCAAAGTTCAAGGGTGCCGCACTGTAAAATTAATAAGGATGCACAGGAGAGTACATCATTGTATTGGCGGGCATTTTACTTCAGTATGAGTTCAGTCTGTAGTACAAGATATAGTTTTCATGCTAGTAGCCTCTTGGAATTATAGTCCAATGCAGGAGAGTTAGCTAGTTCTCGTCATGTTAGTAAGCTGGACTTATAGAAATGTTGAATAACTCATTACTAGGTTTGACCTATAAATAAAAAAGGAAAGGAGAAGCAAAAACTCATTGCTATTTCTGAAACAAACAATAGCTGAATAACCTTGGCCTTTCAGTTTAATTTTTTGATGATATGACACAAATATGCTGCTTATAAATTATATATGGAGAAATTCAAATCAACAACCACTGAAACATACTTCAAAGCTTTTGCCATACGGGAAGAGAATCAGTCCCTTATTCATTCAGAATTGTGTTCTACATAAAAAAGTTTGTGAATCTTAATTGTGAAACCCTAAACTAAAGAGAGGTGGCTAGTAATTAAACTTTTGATAAGAAATCTATTGGTCCCCTTACCACTGGAGATTTCAACAAATGCATGCACTTGTGTAATGATAAAAGTATAGAACTGTATTTTATCTATACATGCTCGGGGAGTTATGTTTTTGCTTCATGCTTTTGGGCTCAAAATAGACTTTTAAAAGCTAAATCAGCATTCTTCTCTCCAACTCAAAGTTCTTTCTTTTCAATAGCTAATAGTTCTTTCTTTCTCATTTTTTAATTCAGGAACAACACTATTGGTGATCTACAGAAGCAAAGCTGACCTTATTTGGGTTTGCTGAGCAGTTCAATGGGCACTATTTTGAATCATCCTTATATCTAGGGATATTTGTAACGTAAAACAGTCAAGATTCAAAGTTCCTGTAATTTGTAACTTTGCTACATTTATTTGATCTGTGCAATTTTGAAGAAGTATGATGGCCTGAAATGGAATGATGCCTCCCATGTCTCTTCTTTCCCTCTTGAATTTAGAAATTTGTAGATGTTCATTGATTACTAATTTAGAAAGAATTTGGCATCTTTAACTTGTGTTGTTTGATTGACTGAGCTCTGAGAAATTCTCTTACTATTTCATCAATGGAGAGCTTAGCGCAACTTGAAGCATTGTGTGAGAGGCTTTACAATTCACAAGATTCTGCTGAGCGAGCTCATGCAGAGAATACCCTGAAATGCTTCTCAGTAAATAGCAGCTATATTTCACAATGTCAATACATTTTGGACAATGCATCGACTCCTTATGCATTGATGCTGGCTAGTTCAAGCTTGTTGAAGCAAGTGACAGAACAACGCCTATCTTTGCAGATCCGGCTTGATATTCGTAATGTTCCAGTTCGACTGCAGAGTCTTATGCCTGTGTTCCTAGAATTGTTTCTTCTTACTTCATCCCCCCAACCCCCCTCTACCTTCCCCCCCCTCTACCTNTTAGAATATATGAAGGTAAAGTAGAGGTATTTTGGCATCATATTTGCTATTCTTTTTAGGAAGAAAGTGAAAGGTACAGGCGGTTACTTTTTCCTTACTTTTATGGTCGAAAGTCCGTATTCTACTGCTTGTAGAAACGTAAAGGATCTGCCTGCCAAAAACTAGAAATGTTGGAGTAGGGAATTCTTACTCAAACCATTGTAGTGGAAGATCTTGGGAGTCTTCTACTTCAGATTTTGGCATATAACATGGTCGTGCTTATTTTATACTTCTGCTGTTGCTGTGGTTGTAAAATACTGATTAGATACCTCTCACACATGCATTACTGTTACGTCTAATCTGCTAGCTAATCTGTTCCTTTTATGAAGGTAACTATCTCATAAATTACCTGGCAACAAGAGGAACAGACTTGGAGCCTTTTGTAACTGCATCTTTAATTCAACTGTTTTGCCGAGTTACGAAGTATGGTTGGTTTGAGGATGACAGTTTTAGAGAGGTGGTCAAAGAATCCACAAGCTTTCTGAATCAGGTAATGATGTTTAAGATCTTCTTTTAACCTCTAGAGTACATGATAGGGATGGGGGAGCTGCACAAGATGATGGGTTGAGGACCTTTAAAGCTTTTTTTGCTTGTATCTGGTTTTTTGAAAATTCAGAACTTCTTGGTTCTATAATTGGAATGTAGTATGTTATCTTCCTGTAGAGTCTTCTTACTGTGCTCTTCCTGTTTTCCTTCTCTTTGGAATGTGCAAGCAACTACGTCTATACTGCTAAACTTTTTGGCCACACCTTCTTTTTGCTTGAAATTTCTGAGATCTCATTTTCCATAGTTGGCATCTTATTTTTTGAGACTAGTGCTCTTGGTTGGCCTGAGTGTTCTTTTCTTTGTTTTTGGTTTGTTTTCTAGCTATATTCACTAGATTTTACCTGCAGAAAATACCACTTTTTGTGATAATTGATTAGTCTGGCTTTGCAACTGGGTTGAAAAATTGTAAGTTGCTTGGGCTTTGTGTCTGATACATTGTAAGATCTTGGTTTGAACTTATATTGCTTGGATCCTCCAAAACTTTCACCGCACTGGTGTTGGATCCTCCAAAACAACGCAATTTTGAGGATTCAACACGGGTGCAACGACTTTTTTGGAGGATCCAAGCAGTATAGGCTGGAACATGACAACAAAACAATCTAACAAATACATATTGAAAAAGTCAAAGCAGGAAGGTTGTTCACATGAAGGACATGCTAGAAAAACTAAGCGTCAACCTTGAATGCCAAAGAAACTCAGTTTCAATAAGAAAAAATGACTGAGGCCTTAATAATTACTCCCTCGGTCCCAATTTATGTGTCACTCTTTCCTTCTTAGTCAGTCCGAAAAAGAATATTACTTTTCCTTATTTAGAAACAATTTATCTTTAGACTTCCTGCTTTACCCTTAATGCTACACAATATCTATAGTTTGTTTTAGACCACAAGTTTCGAAAGTCTTCCTTTTTTTCTTAAACTCTGTGCCGAGTCAAACACCGCCATATAAAATGGGACAGAGCCACAAAGGAAGTATTTATAGAGAGTAAAATAGGAAGAAAAGAACCCTCAGGGGCTGGCCTGGTGGCAATTGACTTGAGCCTTGGGGTTTGTTCCCTTTCAAGGTCTCAAGTTCGAAACCCACTGGGTGCAAACAATTTCTGAGGGCCATCGGACTTGGTAAAACCTGAATTAACCGTGGTGCACTTGCGGGAAACTCCTTGCCGATGGCCTGTGCACCCCCGGGATTAGTCGGGGCTCAAAGAGACTCGGACACCCGGTGCAAAATCAAAAAAAAAAAAAAAAAAAAAAAAAAAAAAAAATAGGAAGAAAAGAGTTTATCTTACCATTCTAAAAAAATAGGAAGAAAAGGGTGAGAAATGATGGAATAGCTTTGATTATTCCCTCAAGTGTAGTAGTTAAATATGTTACAACTTTGGTGAACTATTTTTATGCATTATTAAGTAGCTAAGCAGATTGACGGAAATTTATAGAGAGGAAGAAAGTTCTTAGAGAAAGTGTATCATAGGGTGCCAAGAAAAAGCTCTTTGATGGGAGTTGGAGTAGAATAGAATTCATACTAAAAGTATATAAATGCCATAAAAGATATGTATGAAGGAGCCATCATTAGTGTGAGAATAGTGGTAAAATATGCAAAAACAGTTTCCCATAACCGTTAGTTTACACAAGGGATCGGTGTTGAGTCGTACTCGTTTATTCTGGCTATGGATGAGTTAAAACATATAGGATGAGGTTCCATACTGCATACTATTTCAGTCAATACTATGCTAATTGACGATATTGGCGAGGGTGTCTACCTAAAACTTGAACTTCTGGAGAGTAATGGTTTTAGGATAATAGAAATAAGACTGAATATATGCACTAAGTTGAGCTACTATACAGTGAAATTAAGATGAGACTAGACGAGATTGTGGTGTCTAAATACAAACATTCGGATATTTAGGCTTGATATCCCAGGATAATGGTATGATGTATGAATATATTACACATAGAATAGAAATAAAATAGTTGAAATGGAGAAATACTACCATAGTGTTATGCTTAAGAGGCACCCACCAAAGTGAAATGCAAAGTTCTATAAAATGGTGCAAGACCGATAATATTATAACGGGAGTGAATGTTGGGCCTCTAATATCTAGTATATCTTTAAGTTGAGTGTCACAGAAATGCGAATGTTAAGAAGAATGTGCGATTGTCCAAAATTAGACTAGAATAAAAATGATCACATTCGACAAGGTGCAAGTAGCAGATATAAAAAGAAAAGAAGAAGTTCGCTTGGGATTGTTTGTCATGTCCTACGTTGACATCCAAATGCTATGGTTCACAGGTATTTCACCATGGCGATTGAATGTGTTGGGCGAAGTAGACCTAAAATTACTTGTAAGGAAGTTGTTTTAAGTCCTACATTCTCTTGAAATCTGTAGAGACTTAGCCATAAATAAGACACAATGATAGAAGAAGATCCATATAGGCAATACCAATTTAAGTTTTAGTTATGTTGGTATGTTTGCTTTAGATCCAACGTTTAGTCTTAGTAGAGATTTATATGTCTCTGAAGAATATAGATAACTTCTAATACCAATAACCTAACATTTTCTTAATATAGGATTGAGACGGTTTTAAAGGAAGTGACATGTAACATAAGGATTCATATAGCTGAACCCCACATGCTTCGAAAGTGAGGCATTGTAGTAGTAGTTGTTGTTATGATTACATCAATCAAATCCAATCAAATAAAATCAATCAACCATAATTATCTCCCCCTCAAATCAACTAACCTTGTCCTAATCGAATCTACAATAATCCAATGAAATAAAATCAATAAAGCATAATTGTTTCCCCCTCAAATCACCTAACCATGTCCTAATCGAATCTACCATAATCTCAATACTCTGCTTCAAAGTGGAGGGAACATGTTATACACTTGATAGTTGTTACAACTGTTTTCTTTTCTAGGACCTCTTGGGGTTTGGTAGAGCCCTGAATTTCGCCATATCTTTATGCCTGTGATAGTGGCGGAAGAAAAGGGAAGGTCAAATAGAAGGGAGGGGAGGGGAAATCAGTCTCTGAGGGGAGGGGAGGGCTCACCGGATCACTGGATTAAACCGGAATCAGACGTTAGATCGAGAAGAGACGGGAGGTTTGAAACTGGGGGAGGAAGACAAAATTTTAACAGGAGGGGAAGACGTGAATGGGTTAGTGAGGCGGGCTGGAAAGACAGAATGGGCCGATCCTCTTCTAATTATCATAGGGCTGGGCAAGTTTTCAGCAAGTATAGGCCTGGGCCTCCTCACATGGGCCCATCAACTTTCCCCAATTCCATTAGAATTGATCCTAAGGGGCCTAGATTATCTCAAGCTGCGCATGATAAGGCTCCTAAGCATATGGGAAAAGTCGTTCCTCCTTCTTCAGGCCATGGTGCTTCACATAGTGGCACTCCTTCACCGAGCTCTAGTGACTTGTGCCCCTCTACGATGGCCGCTGCTGCAGAGGCAGAACCGGCTAAAGATGGTGCTGTTAATCCACGCCCCCCCGCCTCTGATGGACCCAGTTCCATCAACCCCTCACTTGCTCCTGGGCTTAGTTGTGCTGAGGTCACACTTTAAGTTTCTTCTTCTTCTGGGGAGATTGGTGAGCATGCCCCAATTGATGTTAGTGTCGGACCAGTACTTTCAGTTAATATGCCGCCAAGGGTTCCATGCTCTCTTACTCCATGCTACCCTACTGATGCTTCTGGACATTCCTATAGCAGCGGGGTGTTAATTTCAGAGGTTGCTGCCCCTCAAGGAAATGG